TGGTGGTGGAATCTAAAAAACAAAACCAAAAACATATAAAAAACGAACAAACAAAATGCCGATTTTATAGAAATAGAGAATACAATGGTGGTTGCCAGGGGCTAGGGGGAAGGACAAATGGGGAGCTGTAAGTCAAAGGGTACAAATTTTCAGTTACAAGAATAAATTCTGAAGACCTAATGTACAACATGGTGACTATAGTTAATAGCATGATATTGTACACTTGAAAAATGGCTGAGAATAGATCTTAATCACTGTCACCACACAAAAAAGAGAGAGAACTATGTGAGGAGGTGATTATGTTGATTAGCTTGATCGTGGTAATCATTCTACAATGTATATTTATATCAAATCATCACATTGTACACATAAAATATATACAATTTTTTGTGAATTATTTCTCAACAAAGTTAAAAAAAAAGGGAAAGAATGGAATAAACCCATGAACTCCAGACCTCAACTCATGTCTTAATGTTCCACAAAAGCCTTAGTTTATGTGTTACATAGTGGTGTTTTATGTCAAGGTGATATCTTCAAAGGTTTTAGAAATATTACTAGATTCCCCTAGCTACATAATTCAATAGCTGTTATCATTTTAGCACCTTCCTCATACAATTAACCTTTTTTTTTTCTTTCAGACCATCAACATTTTCTAATACTACAGTGTGCTGATCTGTTTAATTCTTTTTTTTTTTTTTTAAGATTTTATTTATTTATTTGAGAGAGAGAATGAGAGACAGAGAGCATGAGAGGGAAGAGGGTCAGAGGGAGAAGCAGACTCCCCCGCTGAGCAGGGAGCCCGATGTGGGACTCGATCCCAGGACTCCAGGATCATGACCTGAGCCGAAGGCAGTCGCTTAACCAACTGAGCCACCCAGGCGCCCTGATCTGTTTAATTCTATTCTCAATTTATTTTGAATACATATGCTAATCTTTAAAACAGATGCTTTGTATTTCTTATCTTTCAGTAATTAGAACAAATCATCTAATAGCTATAAATTTGCTATGTATATATATTTAATTTGGAAACATATTGCTAAGGGAAAAAAATGTTCTTGTTTCAACCTTTTTATCAAGACCTTGCCTTTGAGAGAGAGTTATGGGAAAGAGGTTAGTAGGGGTTTTGAAGATTGCTTAATGCAGCAGTTCCTAGAATGTGATACTCAGATAATAAGCCCTAAGGGATAGTATTAGGGGAGAGTTGGGGTGAGACACAATTTGTGGTCAAAATAAGTTTGGAAAACTCTTTGTTAAATTATGTTAAAGATAGTTCTTTACTGTAGGACTTCTCAGAGCCTTCAAATGAGGTTTGTTTTCATGGCAAATACTTTAGGAAAAAATTGCTTTACACACACTGATCAAAAGACCAAAAGAGACAAATGACAGAACATGGTAGAAATCAACATGGATGTGACAAGGAGTGCCATGGCTAGGGACTGACTGCATTACTCAAGTCAGGAAAAATGAAAAGCAGGAATAGAATGAAAACCCTTGCTCAGGTGTACACCTGGAAAGAGAGAGAAAAGGAGGTGAAGGTAAATTTTTCTGCATCACAAAGAGAGCCTACCTCTGACTTACTGGAAAATTGCTACTTGCTTCACCAAAATTTCCCTTGGAGTCTGCTTCCTTTTCAAAGTAGAAGGACATGGTCTCTTGTTTGTTTGCCACTGTCTCTCTAACGTGCAGAACAGTGTCTATCACAGAGAAAGTGCTCAAAAATCATGTATCCAATAGAGCAAATAGTAAATCAGTGGTTGTAGAACCATAAGAATAGTGAAAATTCCATTATTTGGAGACTTTCCAATGGTTGGCCCACATGCAGAAACCAAGAGTTCCAGGTGTTTCCTAATCCTGTCTCTATTCTGAGAGATTACGCTTAAGGGGTTCCCCACAGGAAAAGTTTGCAAAGCCTTGGCAACTTGCCACTGCACATGAAGGCACAATCGAGGGTGGCTATTAATAGGAAAACAATACAATCTGAAGGGAGGCTGACTGTCCTTTGTGCAGTTTCTTCTTATTTATTAAACAATGTTTATTATAAATCTAACCTCAAAACTTGGATTTTTACATTAATAACACTTCACATTTGTAAGATAATTTTCAAGTCTCTTCAAAATTAACTCTTTTAATCCTGAAAAAAAAAAAAAAGTGACAAGTAGCCCATCGTAGGAAGAGGAAAATTAAAGTGGATCAGATGAATGATTTGCCCAAGGTCACAACATTATTTTATGGAAGAGTTAAGATTAGAACTTAATTAACCCTTCCATCTTTTCTTCCTTACAACACACAGAAGAGTAAACGCTAATTCCATCTGGTTTGAGAAATCCCCTGACTTGTAATGGAATGGAAACTTCCTTTTAAAAATAACCTCTATAGAAAAATTTTTTTTAAAAAAGTCTACATGACTAATTCTCCTAAAATAATAAAACAATTATAAGACCACATAAAAGTCATCTAAAAAGCTGGGTGAAGAGAAGATCAAAGATGCTTATGTAAGGACAAGATAGAAGCCAAGTTTCAAAATTCAAAGCTTTTGTGAGCTCTAATCATTTCGCTTGCATTCATAAAATCTTTACTATTTTCTCTCTACTTTTTGATGTATAATATTCAATCAATTGTAATGGAATATAAGTGGATAGTACTTGAAATGTCCCCTGGGCATGAAAGTACAAACTGTGGCACGTGCACAGCACTGCCACATAGAGGAAAGTGGGCCTTTTCCTGCCAGTCAGAGGCTTTTAGAGAAGAAAAGCGAACTGGCCCTGGGATTGGTGCCATTGTTATTCCTCTCAAAATAGAAAAATTTTGGATTTTCCTCTTCTCCATTCTGAAGTCAAAGGCAATGACTAGATTTACTGCTAGGAAGTCTATGTATGTTTCCTTTTCAATGGATTTATAAACTCCATTATGTTAATATCAAAAATATATAACAGGTATAAAAGGGATGAAGGATCCTGCTGTGACTTCCTAGGGAGGGGCATTTTCCAGTTTATTGAGATTCTGAATTATTGGTGGAGCTAAAGCTTCATGACTGACCTTCTTCTTATGCTGTGACACAATGCAGAGAGCTGGCATTAAAACTCCATGTGATTAAAAAATTCACAGGTCCTTTAAAATTGTACATTTTGTCAGATAAAAAGAATACAAAAATATACACAAACTACTTAGCTAGTGAATTGTGAGCTTTTAACAGGAAAAGAAAATCAAAGGCAGCTATCTAACCACTTTCTCTCAACTTTTCTGGTGTATATTTATGAGATTAAATGTATCAAAGAGCAACTGAAGTGTTAAACAACAAGCTCCTGTTGAGAAAACACTTTGTCGTAGCAAAATAGCTTTTAATCCTAAATTTTATAAATGGGTGGGGACGTGGGGGGAACTTTTGATGGCAAAAATGGGAAAAGACAGAAGAAAGAAAATTTAAGTAATAGGAGAAGGGGTACAAAGTAGTACTCAGACTAGAAGATATTCATTTTCTACCCTTAAATGCAAAGAAAACCATAAAAATTTCTGCCATCGAAGCCCCAGAAAATTTTCACAAAGAATATCGGGTTTTTATAGAGAACAAAGATAGTCACATTTCCTAAATTTCCTTCCTTGAAACATTTATGTTTCAGCAATTAGGAATAGACATCAAAATAGTTTCTAAGTTGTGAATAGTTTAGGCAAACCATCTGCATTTATGTGACTGAACACTGAACCATTACTGAGAACATCCTGTAGAGAGTATATCTCCCTTGTCACAAAGAAATGATCCCACTGTGGGATCAAGAACTAGAGCATTTAAATAAGAGAACATGCAGAGAAAGACAGTGGATGTAAAGGACAAGAACAGAAATATGATCCAGTCAGTCACCAGAATAATGTGGATAGTAATTAACATTAAAAGTAATAGTAGTTTTTGGGCATATCATTTATAATTTCATATATATGTGCGGTATTCCATAATGGGTATTCTGGTCATCTTGAGTAATCCCTGGGTGTGTCTTTTTTAAAGCTCCTATTTGACAAAAGTTCTATCAACATTTATTAAAGAAAGGTGCTGTTTACTAAAGAAAGGGTAGATCTAGCCAACATGTGTTATTTTTATCCTGGTACCCTGAGTGAAAAATCACATGTGCATATCACTTGAAGAACGATGTCTAAACAGAGTCTTTTATTACTTGAGTGACTTCAGTCTAAAGTACTTCGGGAACTATAAAATGTCACAGATTCCTTCATCATAAAGGTGGTGTGCTGCAGGGGAAATCATTCTTAGCTCTATGGGAGAAGTCTTGACTCCCAGTTCTGCCACTCATTGACCAGCTATATCTCTATGGGAAGGTCTCTTGTAATCTGATACTTTTCTTATGTATAAGAAGATAATTATTCTGTCTGTCTTCTAGGACCACAGAGACTGAAATAATGCACATGACTATTATTATTTTTCTTATGAACAACATAAATAATAATAATTCCTATTTCATAGCACTCGAAAATTGCCTTCAGCTACTTGATCCCATTCAGTGCTCACAGCAACCATTTGGAGCAGATTCTCTTGTCTCCATTTTTCAGATGAGAAAATGAAGTCAAAGAGGTCAGCATGTATGTCATGTGGTCAGGAAAATGAAGTGCCAGGACTAAAGTTCTGACTTTTGGATATTTTGTGCCACTGTCTGCTACACCAAATCATTTCATCATAAATCTTCTCATTTCATTCTACTTTACAGAGTCAACAAGGGATGCTGGCCATTCCACATCTACTTGTGTAACTCCAGCAATGAGGAAATCCTCACCTTCTGAGGAAATCCATTCCATTGTTCAGTACTCTAATTTTTAAGAAAGATCTTTACTTTGATCCAAAATCCACCTCTTCATAACTTCCATTTATTATTTCTCTATTTCTGTCCTCTAAAAATGTGCAAAATAAGTTAAATTCTTCTTCAGCTGGCTTTTTTTTCACAATGGGTTTGCTGCCAGAACACAGGTATCGTGAAAACCACTGCTAAACCTAAACCAAAATGGGAAAGGAAAAGACTCATATCAACATTGTCATCATTGGACACACAGATTCGTACAAGTCTACCACTACTGGTCATCTGATTTACAGATGTGTGGGATAGATAAAAAACTATTGAAAAATTTGAGAAGGAGGCTGGTGAAATGGGAAAGGGCTCCTTCAGCCTGAGTCTTAGATAAACTTGAAAGCTGAACATGAACATGTTATCATGTAACATTGATATCTTCCTGTGGAAATTTGAGACCAGCAAGTATTCTGTGACCACCATTGAAGCCTCAGGACACAGAGACTTTATCAAAAACATGGTCACAGGCACATCTGAGGCTGACTGTACTGTCCTGATTGTTGCTGCTGTTGTCGGTGAATTTGAAGCAGGTAACTCCAAGAATGGACAGACCTGAGAGCAAGCCCTCTGGCTTATACACTGGGTGTAAAACAACTAATTGTTGGTGTTAACAAAATGGATTCCCTTGAGCCACCCTACAGCCAGAAGAGATACGAGGAAATCATTAAGGAAGTCAGCACCTACATTAAAAAAATTGGCTACAACCCCGACACAGTAGCCTTTGTGCCAATTTCTGGTTGGAATGGTGACAACATGCTGGAGCCAAGTGCTAATATGCCTTGGTTCAAGGGATGGAAAGTCACCCATAAAGATAGGAATGCCAGTGGAACCACACTGCTTGAAGCTCTGGATTGCATTCTGCCACCAACTTGTCCAACTGGCAAGCCTTTGCATCTGCCTCTCCAGGATGTCTACAAAATTGGTGGTATTGGTACTGTGCCTATGGACCGAGTGGAGACTGTTCTTAAACCTGGGATGGTGGTCACCTTTGCTCCAGTCAGTGTTACAACTGAAGTAAAGTCTGTTGAAATGCGCCATGAAGCTTTGAGTGAGGCTTTTCCTGGGGACAGTGTGGGCTTCAATATCAAGAATGTATCTGTCAAAGATGTCCATTGTGATGTGACTGATGACCGTAAAAATGACCCACCCATGGAAGCAGCTGGCTTCGGCTCAGGTGATTAATCTGAACCATCCAGGCCAAATCAGTGCTGGATATGCACCTGTGCTGGATGATCATACAGCTCACATTGCCTGCAAGTTTGTTGAGCTGAAGGGGTGGATTGTCGTTCTGGAAAAAAGCTGGAAGATGGTCCCAAGTTCTTGAAATCTGGTGATGCTGCCATCATTAATATGGTTCCTGGCAAGCCTATGTGTGTCGAGAGCTTCTCTGATTATCCTCCTCTGGGCCGTTTTGCTGTTTGTGACATGAGACAGATGGCTGCTGTGGGTGTCATCAAAGCAGCGGACAAGAAAGCAGCTGGAGCTGGCAAGGTCACCGAGTCTGCCCAGAAAGCTCAGAAGGCTAAATGAATATTATCCCCAATACCTGCCACCCCAGTCTTATTCAGTGGTGGAAGAACGGTCTCAAAACTGTTTGTGTCAATTGGCCATTTAAGTTTAATAGTAGAAGACTGGTTAATGATAACAATGCATCGTAAAACTTTCAGAAGGAAAAGAGAATGTTCTGTGGACGATTTGTGTGTGTGTGTGGCAGTTTTAAGTTATTAGTTTTTAAAATCAGTACTTTTTAATGGAAGCAACTTGATCAAAAATCTGTCACAAAATTTTGAGACCCGTTAAAACAAATGTCTAATGAGGAAAAAAATCCTTCAGTTGAATGACTTTCAGGTTACTCTATAGACTTTTCTATTTCTAGAAACTAATTCTTTCCAAAACACTCAAGAGTTTTCAGTTCCTAGTCTCCTCATCATTATGATATTCCTAACTCTATAAATATACTATCAAAGACACCTTTTTTCTTGTGTCTAGTACAGTACTTAAAGTATTGAATTTGACTTTATATTTACTTTTCTATTTCTCCTATTAGGTTATGCACTTCTCTATGTGTGTAGGGAGGGAAGGAAGAGTATTGATAATCGATCATATTTGTTTGTTTACCTGGGGAGACATTCATAGATCTTGGTATATAAAAACCCTTAATCTATAGCATGTTAAACTGGTAAACTCAATATTAATTGAATTTAACCAATGTGAAGCAGCATCAAAAAAGTTGATATCTAATAATGGAAACTCAGTTTCTGGAATAAAAGAGGCTACAGTTCAACTTGATTGACCATTTATTCAGTCAAATGCCGTGGCATAACAAAGGACTCTTGATATGCAGAATATACAGAGACATTGCCCTCCAAAACTGATGCTAAACCCTAAAGAGATTTCACAAGTGAAGTGATGGGTCATCAGCTATTTACCCTGGAACTGGAAGGACAAGTCTGCTTCCATATAAAGCAGAAGTAGTAAGAAATTAATCCTACGAGGGGGGCAGAGCAAGATGGTGGAGGAGTAGGAGACCTGGATTTCGTCTGGTCTCAGGAATTCAGCTGGTAGGGATCAAACCATTCTGAACACCTACAAACTCAACAGGAGATCGAAGAGGAGAATAGCAACAACTCTGAACAGAAAAGCGACCATTTTCTGGAAGGTAGGACGTGCGGAGAAGTGAATCCAAGGTGATATTTGGGAGGATAGATGGCGGGGCTGGGGGCCTCCGTCGGCCGCTTCTGGCAAGTGATAGAGCCGCAGAGCACAAAATCGGAACTTTAAGAAGTCGGCTCCGCTGAGGGACTCACTCCAGTGGCTAAGCTGGGGGTGGAACCCTCGTGGGACAGTGTGGTCTCAGGACCCTCGGGGTCACAGAAAGACCGGGGGTGCCTGAATGCAGCAGAGCTCCCAGGTATCGGAGCGGGGAAGCCGGCTGCAGAGAGGGAACCGAGGTGCGGGCTCTCAGCTTGGGGTTGCCATAAACTGTAATCGGCGACGCAGTCGGGCCACTGCTCCTCCAGCAGGGACCCAACAAGCGGCAGATCCGGGGAGACTCCCCTTCCTTCCCCAGGAGGAGCGGCGCGGTAACGCACCGCAGGGATCTGCTGGGTTTGGAGATTCCACACTGAGGCGGGTGCCAGAGATAGAAACCCTCGGTCACAGGCCGGGTGAGCATGGAGTGCGGCTGGAGACGGGGACACGGGAGTAACTGACTGCTTTTCTCCCGGGGCGCACTGAGGAACAGGGCCCCAAGTTCTCGGCTCCTCCGGGTGGAGATTGGGAGGCCACCATTTTCACTCTCATCCTCCAAAGCTGTACAGAAAGCTTGCAGGGAACAAAAGCTCCTGAGAGCAAACCCGAGCAGATTCCTTAGCCCGGACCGACAAGGGCGGGGCAATTCCGCCTCCAGCAAAGACATTTGGGAACCACAGCAACAGGCCCCTCCCCCAGAAGATCAGCA